ATCAAACATCCATTTGACTTCACAGTAAGGAAATGTAGTACACTAATCACATCAGTGTGAAGCAGTTGAGTTGCAAAGAGGTTTCTTACACTAGAATCCGAACATTAGAGTCTTAACTGCTCCTTCATTTAAAACTCTGGTACAATATAAACTACAGTATTCCTCCTGCTAGATTTTGCCTTGATACCGCTCACTGCCATGTCACGTTTGAGAAGTGACATCCATACCTGTATTTTGATGGATGAGTCTTGATTCAAAGCCTACATTACTGTTCATGTGGAAAATCACAAACCATATAGAACCCCACTACAGAATCTACAGGAGTAGAATCTTCTCAGTGTAATTAGTCAAAAAAAAGTGTTGCTAATGATATCCATTTTTTTCCCCATATCACACAACACATTAGCTCTAGATTCCAGCAGGAGACGTGTGAAGAGACTGACTCACTATGGGTTATTTCTTGCCAGGACAAGAAGTGCAGATCTGTGCAAGTGGTCACCACAGAATGCCACATCACACAGCAGGAAGAGGACATGCTCTGGCTAAGCAGAGCACACTAGCATAATTGCAGACTTGCCCAGTTTGTTTACTAACGGAATGTCATTTTGTCTGTAATTACATTCCATTGGTGAATGACTCCCCCCCCCTCCCCAGAACATAGGAGGTATGAGGAATCTCCAGTGTGCTTTCAGCAAACATTCACACAATGCTCAGAAAAATAAACAGCTGTTGTTCCTTTGTATACAACAAAGAAGAATTCCTTACACTTCTATAGTGCTTTTCTGGACACTCCACTCAATGCGCCTTACAGGTAACAAAGACCAGTGTGCAGCCCCACCTGGACGACGCGACGGCAGCCATAGTGCACCAGTACGCTCCGCACACACCAGCTCTCAGTGGGGAGGGGGGAAGAGTGATGAAGCCAGTACATAGATGGGGATCCATCATAGGAGGCCATGAATGTGAAATGCCAGGGGGAAATTTGAAGAAAGGTATGGCTTTGTGCATCAAAAGGGTTAATAAAAGGAGATTGCAGTGGAAGAATCTGCGACTGTATAATAAAACATCCTGAAAGTTCAGGCAGCAGTGCAGAGTAGTGATTAGGAATCTGGACAGGAGATGGGCAGGTTAGGGCTCTGCTGTTGCATCCTTGAGCCAAGTATGCCACTCAAACAGCTCCTGTAAGTGCCCTGCAGTGTGAGTGAGTCTCAAGGTCCTCACTGCACAGGAGACTGTGCTCAAGCGATTGACCTTGTAAAATAAAGAAACAGTGAAAGATAAGCATACAGTGGCAGGCCTCACTGGGGAAATATCTAGATTGGACACAGTGCTCTGATGAGGGTTTCTGAACAGTTATGATGTTTTACACAGCATACACGCTATAGATTTCAGATACCAATATACGATTCACCACGATCAATAGAAAAACTGACTCACTTAAGAATATAAGTATAGGGTATCTTGTACATTTTCATTGTGTGATGAATGTTTTTTTTTTTTAAATCTTACTCATCCGATAAAAACAGTCTCTGGAAACAGTGATTCTTAAACCATAGTCATGTCTGAAGAAAAGCTTCCTTTCATAAACTGTCCTAGACTGCTTTATTCCTACCCAACCCATGGGACTCTCTGTGCTTGATCCAGTGGAGAATTCTCAAAGAATGACTGTTGTGTTGTATGTCACATATAGACCACTTTTGAAGATGCTGAGCTACGTAAATATTTTATTACTCAAAATAAGTATAATTAGTTAGCGAAGACATCATCTGGGATAAATGCTAAAATGACACACAGACTAGGTTTGGGAAGCTCTTCTTTAAATATTTTCAGCTTTACCATCAGCCTACAAACAAATCTGACATTTATTACAAATGGTTCAGCGGGTATGAATTTGTCAAAAAGAGCCACAAACAACTTGCTGGGCAGAGTGCGACATCAGAAACGCGAGAACAGTTAAACTAGGGGAGGTTTAATGGAATGCCTGCAGATTCTTCTCTTCTGTATCTGGAATATACTATTACCAACTACAAAATTTTTAAAATTAAAAGACTGGATCGGTGACAGGCTGGAAACGCAGACTTGCAATCATTAAATCACGTAGTACTGGAAATCTCTTAAATAGAGATTGTTGTGCACATGATATATAAAACATTTTGTCCTACAGGTACTTCAAATACCTCACAATAGAGATGTTTCTTCTACTTAGCTCAGTCCTTCCAAGATAAAAACAAATCAGATCATTAGCCTTGGGTGATCTGCAATCCTTTCAAGACGGCGGACAGCGAACTTGTTCCAAAAAATGGTCAGTGTCAACGTGCGCTGCACTCTCAGGAAATCTGAGCTATCATGGCACAAACACACAACACATGCTGGAGCATCGGAAAAGAAAACATTCCCAAGTTCTCTGCAGCCTCAGCTCTGAGGATAGGTCTATAATGTATGTTTTACCCACGTGTTTGGCTATCTCTAGCCGTCTGCAACCGAGACAGCCAGAAAGATTAGTTTGGAGACAAAAACAGAAACTTAAAAACCTCATCTTAAATCCATAAATTGTACTGTAAATGTCACACTGGAAGGCTGCCACCTGAAATGAACCTGAAACACAAAAACAGCTTTCTAGGTGCAGATTTAAATATAGGAAGAGAAACGTACTGCATCCAGACACACATGAACACTGAAGAGATGTCAGGGGTTATACTGTACCAGCAACACAGCAGCATTAATAGGTCTTGTCATTCCTATTTTAAAATAGAAAGCACACGTTGACTGTGATGTGTTGTTTTTTATTAAAAGACTTCCCATTAACGCTTATGACACTGTGAAACACGAATACCAGAATACAGCACATTCAGAGATTTCAGATTAGGATCAGTACTCTGATTTACAAGGGGTACAGTACTCCAAGTGAACTGAGACTCGCTCTCTGCTTGAGATATAGAGCCAGGAACGTGCTCTCAAAATGTTCTATCTGGTGGACTCTTATAAATTGGACAACAAGATAAAAACTAACAAACTGCAATGACGCTCTTCTATTTTTTTCACTTTTAGTTAAATGCATTACTGCATGGTACCATAGCCACCAACATTCACACCAACAAGACATTGAAAGAAGTAGTAGCTCTTGAGGAACAATAAAGTTGTGGTGACTGTCTGTACATGTGCAAGACAATAAGAGAACACTTCAATACTATTATCCATTACATTACATAAAGTATAAGTATAGTTACATTAAGTATAAAATAATATTTATATGGACCAATTTCAAAGATTAATTCAGACTGTTCTGTAGTAAAATAACCTTATCTTGGTTTGTCTGTATGTTGAATCATTATATTTATAGATTACCTTTTGCTTATACCATCTATACTATCACTGCAAATAACTTATAGGTCACTGTTTGTTGCGGGCAATGAACTCATGATGGAAAAAGGATTCTGCTAATAAGAGTAATAAACAGTAAACATGTCGGCGATTTAAACAGCGTTTTTTCAGTCACATGATAAGCACGACCAGAGTGCACACCAAACACAGAAGAGTGATGGGACAGTTCAAGAACAGGGCACAGCTGGTAAGAGACATTCACAAGTTTGTCTCGGGTCTGGTCTGGTCTGGGAAGGAACTGTAATTTCCACCCATTACACAGTTATAGTGATGACGATTACTGAAACGAACCATGTTACCTTTAACACACAAGAAATTAGGGGGAAGTCTTTCGAAACCACCCAAAAAACAAAATTGCTAGGAAGTGGCCAATAAGAAGGGGGAATACTTTTAAAATGTTAAATACTGCCATCAATTCCTCTATGGTTTGCCAGAGGTCTCGTAAAAAAAAAGGCTTAAGAAGTGTTGTGCCTAGTATACTAAGATGATAATTACATTATTTCGGCTACAACATCAGGCAACTGGCGAGTTTCATATTCCAACCCCTCCAGTCTGACTTTGCAAAATGCTCTCCCAAACTTCGTAAATTGAGAATTAACACGCTGACGCTTTATTAAAATGAATAAGCAGAGGCAGACCACTGGATTCCGTGTGCTACTGAAAGACACACTGTTACTGTTTGTTAAAGACTTTGGGGAGGTGCCGATAACGTGGAGCGCAGCAGCTGAAAAGCCCCAGGCGGCCAGAGGACCCCAGCGAAACCGTGGCTTGACGGTCAATTGCGCACCGGATAAAAACGGGTCGACTGAGAGAGATATCGCAGCTCAGGTTAAAAACAAGAAGAAATACGCCAGATTTTCCTTCTCTCCCGGTCCATTTCTCTTTAACAGACGCCTGCTTAAAACATACGGAAATACAGCACGCAGTACAACACCCTCACAGCACGGCGCTCATCAGATAGCCGCCTCCAAGAGTCCGTGCGCAACCCAACACTTCTGCTTAAGAAGAGGTCTAGACTTTAAAATACACCTGGCGACGTCTATTCTCCCGCATTTGCGACTTCATAAACGCTGGAAAGCGAGACCAACAAGGTGTAGCCTTTAATGAAATTAAAAAAAAAAAACGTTTGCATGTTATGGTTCGACACCCACAGAAATAAAAACTTCGGTCCAATCTTTCAAGCTAAAAAAAAACAGCATAAACAAATTAAGTCTGTCACGAAAACTACCAAAGGTCATTAAACCTCACTGTGTAGGCACAGACATTATAGAGTTCATCTGACTTGTAGCTTCGCTGAAAACTTCAGAAATGACTAACCCTTAAGTGAAAAGCTATTCGGCAGAGACTACCCCTACACCTAAAAAAATAAAGTTAGTTTATACTGAAGTTTTGGGATTTGCAGCACCTTCGTTCACATGTTTGATTTCATCTTCGCCTGACGGGTATAGCTAATTAGCATTATCGCCGCAATTAAAAGTTTCGAGCGAATTCGCGTTTGAAGTGCTCCAGATGAGACCCGAAAAAAAGCTGTAAAAACTGGAAAACGGATAAAGAGACGGACAGAGTTCATCGGATGAAAGGCTTTGGGAAGACAGTGGACGTCAAACCAGCACACTCACCCACAAAATCCTTACAAGACTCCTCGAATAAGCAAATCCTACGCGGCGAGATTTTCTTTCACGGTCGTTCTTGAAAACACTCTTTTTTTTCCCTTCGCCGTCCCTAATCCCTTCCTCTCTTACGCCATGTCGGGAAACCTGGGATCTAACGGGGCGAGGACGTCATCGCCGGCACACAACCCGCCCTGTTTCCCATCTGATTGGTTTGGGAAGCTCAACTTCTCCGGTAGGAGTGCCGAGATTGGATACGAGTCCCAATCAATGGAGTAGTAAAATTGTACCACGTGGTGTCCAACATTCCAAAGTTTGGGAGAGTCCCACCTAGGACTTGGCTGTGTGGGTTCAGTTCTGCAGTTGAGCGGGGTTTCACCTAGGAGTGCAGTCCTGACGGTCCTGTAAATGAATTTACGTTTTTGTTTGCGTTCCAACCAAATCTTAATGAAAAGAATATCCCTTTCCAGTCCTTGTGAGTGTTTTCTCTCTCTTTTCTTTAGTGTCAAATACATCGTTTAAGTCAATGTTGAAGAGAAGGAACCGTAAGAAGGGCATAGATTTATTCAACCTTGATGTGGTCTGACTTGAATTTCTTTTGTCTCCGTGTGAAAGTTAATTACAATTAAACATCTTTCTAGGAGAATAGTTTTTTTATAACACTACATTCATAGAACTTTTGTGCTACAACCGCGATATACAAAACAACACCAATCACAAAGCAAAACGTTATTTTATATTTATTTCACACTTCTAAAAGCTCTATACATTACAGTACATAAACATCACATGTTACAATAAAATTAAAGAATGTAAAACAAACAAAGCAGATACAGACAATAAAACAATCACATTTCTTAAAAAAATAAGGCCAATTACAATATAAAAGCACCCCATGTGGCTACCCCTGATTTCTTTCGATGCAGTGTTCCAGGGCTGTAAAAGGCCCTGTCACCCACAGAATATACTGTAGACAGTGGGAACACACAGCAAACAACAATCACGTAGGCAAAATTTGTGTGGAATGGGATAAACAGATACAATATCAGCTACCTAGAAACCAGGCCGTGCACAGCCTTGAACATAAGCAGAATTATTTTAATATCAATTTGAATCCTGTCAGTGAGAGGATTCCAGGACAGGAGTGATATGGTAAAGTGCCCTTGATCTAGACAGAATTCAACCAGCCAATTCTGAACATGGTGTGAGTTTTTGAATGCAGTTTTGGAGGAGTGTGATTACAGCAGTGATTAGCTTTCTGGGTTCCTATCCCAGGTGCAGTGCTGGTGTTGTACCCTTGAGCAAGGCACTTTCTCAGAATTGCTCCAGTAAAATACTGGGCTGTGCAAAGGAGTGCAATGGAAAGCTGCTTTAGATGAAGGTTTCAGCCAAGCTAGTAATAATTAGTACCAATACAAACAGCAGAGAGCAGGCTGAGAATAGTTCTAAAATGGAAAAAAAGTATCATTACAAAACTCTGTACAATTCTTCCTCTCCTCTCAGTTCTTAATTTTGGATCAAATATCAAACACATTGCCTTCAGTTGGCTTAATTTGCTTTACAGCTTAGGTGTTAACCCAATAATACGACCTCGATATTATTACAATTAAGATGCAAAGCCTTTTGTGTCACCCAAGAGTTTACAGCAGAAATAAAATCAGATTACTGAAGCAGATACCTCTGTGTCTGGTTCAGTCTGGACCCATTTTTATCCACATTAAAATAATAACTCAGACCATTCAATTTTACTGTTTGTCCAAGGACAAACCATAAATCTTACATAGCAAAGGGCACAGAATTGAGCCCTGTGGAACACCACAAATAACCAACCTGACCTCAGAACTAAATCGCCAAGAGGAATAAAGTGTTGATGCATAACAAGGTAAGATTTAAATCATTTAAGGTATGCCAAACAAACTCTCCAACCAAGAAATTAGGTTATTATTTATTGCATCATTTGTAGCAAATGCAAATAGTATGGTAAAATCATTGTATCCTATTTGCAAATATCATTATTCAGTTTTAGTCATACCAAGATATCCTACTTAAAAATATTACAAAGTGACACCACATGTATCATTGTCCTCATCAGAAAACCTCTTGTTCTGTTCTATTTCAAGATCCTTTGGCACAGAAAAAGAAATATTATTAACACCCTGTAACTGTGAAACATCTGCTTTTAACAGATGGCTGTGCTCAGGACTATTTACTGACTGTTTAAAGACTCCAGATTTGGAAGTGTTTTCTGGAAAATGATCTATGCTTTTTTTGTTCCAATGATCCTTCTTTCTGATAAGAAAAGCCAAGGCTGTTTCCTGCGTGTAAGCTTGATTGCACATTTCCATGCAAAAAAAAAAAGACTTTGAGGAAATAGCCCTCTGCCTTCTGCAGGAGGACCGTGGTGTCACCCTGATATCTCCTCTCAGCACATCTCTTCCCTGACTTGCTCTTCCTGTGGCTTCTGGCTCCCAGGTGCAGACTCTACCCCCTCCTCGTAGCCTGTTAGACTCTGCTTGGTTCTGCCTGGCTGGGTCAGCTGCAGCCTCCCTTGGTGGGCCTCCCTGTTTCTGCCACATGCTCTACTCTCCACTGTAACTCGGTAATCTGTAAACTCCCATCATCTGGAACCTGGCTTCCCTCGTGGAGTTCCTTTCCTTCCTGAACTACACTGGCTCCCTGTATTGCTCGTGTCCGGTTCCAGAACGTCACCCTGGTTTGCCCCTCTGCTGACTGGTCTTCTCCCACTTAACTCTTGTTTCTTCTTTCTCCTTCATAACCCACCATGTCCCCTGTTTTCTTCAGCAGGTTGACTCTCAGTGTCTTCCCTGACTCTTCAGTCTTTTTTGCCTCCACTTTCACTTAGATGCAAATACACAGACGGCCTGGTCCTGTCCCTCTCCATTTCCTGGGGTGCCCTCGAAGCTCGGCTTCCTCAGACCGCTCTCCTTCACAGTTTTATCTAAAAGTAAGAATTCCAGCAGGATGTCAGAAGTCCTTTATTTATTTTGAACTGATTTACTGGACATCATGCCTCATTGAGCCACACTTGTGCCCCACGATGTTGGATTTGAGCTGAGCATCTGTAAGTTACCACAAAAAGACTCATTTGTAATCGTTTTCAATGACTGAATTTGTTTTGCACTGCTGTCATTATGTTTAACTACATATGTACTGTATTTTTCATATTTATGCATAGCTTCCTATAAGTTACTATTTTCCAGTGTGTAAAATAGTGTTTTTACTGCATATTTTTTAAAGTTTTAGTGATAAAGATGTATTGTGTTGATTATACATCATTCTTCACCCCTCTGCTTTTCTTAGTACCACCATCCACGGTCTCCTCTTTATATTGTAATTGTGTTTTATCTTGTGTATTCTTCTTATTTATTGTTGTTGTCATCCTGTAAAGCGCTTTGAGAAGCCACCGTTAAAGGCACTATATAAAATAAAGTTTATTATTATTATTATATTATAGCCCTGTAAAAGAGCAACCATTTGTTGTTGTTATATCAATAAACATTTTCTGTCCCAGTTTGAACTCTGTTATTAGCAATTCATCAGCAAAAAAGCATTTTTTTTATCTTCTTTATAGTTTAATATTAAACAATAAAATTAAGTACTGACTGATTAATTCTGTTATCAGTTATGACACTTATTCTTAGTGAGCTGCACAGAAATCAAGAGTATATTCCAGAAGGTGGGAGCTGATGCTTATCCATCTCAGGGTACACTCACAAGCACACAGGGACAAGTGAGAGAAGCACCAGTTAACCTCAACAGCTAGCCTTGGGGAAAGCCCACCCAGCCCTGGCAAAAACAAGTAAACTCCATACAAAAGATAAGATAAGATGAGATCACTTTATTAGCTGTATACAATTTCTTGCATTATACATTTTCCTTTTCACATACCCCAGCTTGCTCTCCATGAGACACACAGATGGGGAGAGAGAAGCTGGGGGTCAGAGCGCAGGGGGTTAAGGGCCTCACTCAGGGGTCCAACAGTGTAGGATTCTTCTGCTGGCCACAGGATTTGAACCTGCGGCCTTCCAGTCACAGCCACAGATCCTGAGCCACAGAGCCACTGCTCCGCACTTTGGAATCAAACCCAGAAACCAAGAACTGTGAGACAGCAGTGGTAACACTCATGGATCTGTGCTACCTGCTGGTAATTTACAGCCTCATAATAGAGTCATAAATTATATTGTAACGCAACGGGGGCTCAGGCGAGCGCCCTTGCCGCATTAGGTCGGCCCCGCACCGTCGGGGGCTCAAACCCGGGACTCCCGCGTCACTCAACAGGGACCCAGCCCGGTGAGCCAAAGAGAGATCTCTCTACAGCTCAGTAGCTGTAGTCCTGCTATCACAGGGAAGGGCGGTGACGTCACCTGCTCTGGTACGCCGGCTCTTACACGGTGCCTGTCAAAAAAAAAAAAACACGGTGCCTGTCGGCCGTAAGCGTTACAATATGTAGGTTGTCACAAAATACCGATTATTATATTAAATGAATAAACCGAATTAATGATTAAATTCCAAAACAAATCATAAATCAGAAAACTCAATTTATTCACGTCTTAATTTATTATCACAATAATCTGAATATAATCTACTGCTAGTTTATACAGCCTCACAACACTAAGTTTCCTGAAGTGGTCAATTCACTGCAGTTTTTTAACTTCCAATATACTGTATAAGTGAACAGTCGATACATGTAAAAGTAACAAATAAGTGTGTATTTTTAAAAATATTGTTTGATTCAAAATAGTTAAAATTTGCTTGGATTGAATTGGTTAGATAATTTCATAGTCCTTTGTTCAGAATCTAATTCAGATCTCAGGTTGACATTTCTTGAACAGGAACAAGTAATAGGTTTATTCCATGCTGAAAAAAAGAAGAAAGAGAACACAACGTTTCGGCCGTGGAGCCTTCTTCAGGTGTGACCCACCTGAAGAAGGCTCCACGGCCGAAACGTTGTGTTCTCTTTCTTCTTTTTTTCAGCATGGAATAAACCTATTACTTGTTCCTTTGCAGCCTACGCGTGCTGACGCAGCTACCCACCTGAATTTCTTGAACAGTATCTAAATGACAGTAGGAAACACAACACATGACAGGATTTTATACTTACAGTATACTTATATTTGTTTCTTCCTCTGAAATATCAGCTACTGCC